TCGTTCGTGGTGTGGGCACAGTTCCTCCTCCTTGGGGGTCACCATTTTAGCACCCTCTATTGCACTGGTACAAAGTTTTTTTGTCCTACCTATCGTGGTGCGCATCTCATTTGTGAGACTAAGCATCATCGCCTCGACAAAATCTTGGAATCCTACTCGAATGGATTCAAGCGCAACATCATGCCCACGAAGGTGTCTCAACTGTTCGTGTTGTGCGGCTAGCACTGAGGTCATGCTTTCGGTCAGGGTGTCAATTTCCTTCCCTAATCAAGCGTTTTCCCCAATTTTGTCCAACCGCTCTTCTGCCAACCTTAACTCCCACTCCATCTGGTTTGCCATCTCCAAACGCCTCGTCTTCTCCCTTGCGAGACGTAGCTGTTACTCCAAACGCTTCTCCTGCTCCCTTGCCTTTCGGCGAATAGGACTCACTACTTTCTCTAACTCCCTCTTTATTGCTTCTCTATCAGCCAGGGGAACTATCAACTCTGCCTCCCTATCTTCCCCTAGGGACAAACTTGCCACCCATTCCTTCACCGCCTTCTCCACTTCTTCAGGTGGTGTTATTCCTTGAACTTGTTTCTTCTCTCTCCTCTTTTCTTTCTTCAGTCCCTACCATTATCTGTGTCCTTCCTCCTCCTCGTAGCAGGGTCTATTCTTCTGCTTCTACCGCAACCAACTTCGCCTCCTGCTCTTTCTTCCATTTCTCCATCTCCTCCTCCATCTGCTTCTTTTTGGCCGCAGCTTCTTCCACCAGGGCCAGTTTCTTGACCTCTTTCTCCAAGGCCTTCTCCTCTTTCTTCTCTCTGGGCAGCCTTCTCTTTTTGTTCTTTACTAAAGGGGCGAATCTGGAATCCCAACTTGGTAGTCACAGTGCAACAAACGGTCCTCATGAACCCCAAATGAAAGAGGAAACGAAGCAGAGGCCCCAAGGGGGAGAGGCCCATGATGAAGGTGAACATGAGGTAGTCAAACATGCTGACAGGGCAAAATCACGAGCGATTCCACTCCTCAACGCGTAGACTTACCCCTAGACTCTAACACTCACCAAACTACAAAGGCCTCTCCTCCACTTCACCCAGGTTACCTGAGACTTCGGATGCTTTCGCAACCACAGTCACAGCCATCGGATGCTTTCGCAACCACAGTCACCAATCCCACCTGGCTTCAGCTTCAGATTGACCCTCTCTCAACTACATGATTCTAGCCTAAGTTGTTGCTTGATTCTAGCCTAAGTTGTTGCTAGTCTGTCACTATAGGACTATTGGCTGATCAGGAGGCATTTAAGAAGATCCCCCATAACTCCTCAGGAGTTCTTTAACATCGTAGTCAGGACGACGATCACAGCCAAGTCCTCTCAAGACTTAGACAGACTGTACACCCGCTCTGCAGCTCGAAGTTGAGGTATAGTGTACGACCCAGAGCAACCTGCCGGTCTGTATCGGTCCTTGGGGTGTTTTCCCATGTCATCCAGCGTTAGATACACCTCACCCCTGCTAAGTCCCGTGCAGACACTGACTCACAGCCTCTATCAGACCACATCCACAAAGCCTATCGACCTGGACAGGAGTGACTCAATGCAGAAAGAGGTGATAGAGTCTCCAGCAAGTACCAAGGTGAGTGTACAACATCCACAGGGCATAAGGACAAGGGCCAGGGCTTGAAGGGATTATACCGCTCCTCGCTCCACACTCCAGCTTGGTCAACAGGACCGGTCAATGCTCATCGATCAACGCTGGTCAACCCATGGTCAAACCTCGCTGGTTAACGCTTGGTGGTCAATGTTCGTCGGTCAACGCTTGCTGGTCAACGCTCATCGGTCAACACTCATCTTTCAACGCTCGGCTATGGCGGCTTTCTCCTCCCTTCGTGACCTTCATCGACTTCGCCCTCCTTCTTCGTCATCCTTTATTCGGCTATGGCCGACTTCTCCTTCTTTCTTGCCAGCTATGGCTCTCCTCACCTTCTCCTTCATCACCTCTTCTCTCTCTCTTTCTTTCAACTCCTCTTCTCCTTCCTTCGAGCTGGCAGCTATGGCTGTCGTCCGCTATGGCGGACTGTCTCTTTCAGGCGTCCCTCTCTCTCTCTCTCTCTCTCTCTCTCTCTCTCTCTCGCGCGCGCGCGCGCGCGCGTCGGTCTTCTTCTTTGTCGCGGTGGTGCGGCAATCGGCGTGATGGTGCGGACAACGGGAACCAGCTCTGATACCAGTGCAATAAGACTTCTCAATTTCACTCGCAACATGCATACATGTAGGTGTCGATGGCAACACAACTTTGTCAATGCAGAATCAGCAACAAACTTGCAATGACGCACTGCGCCGACACAGAAATCTCAGAAATACGGCCTTAGGGCAGGAACTCAGCTTAAGTCCACTTGTCACATCTAGCAGCTATGGCCGCTGAGCGCTAGTCTGAATTCCCCCTCAAACACTGTCTTCACCATCCGACACTCTCACACACATGCACACACTCATAGGATCTACCCTGAATGTCCATGCACACACACACACTACACTTTGTTGACGTCAGCAACTGGGCGGCTATGGCCGCCGTCGTCTTCCTACTCCACTAGCGGCTATGGCTGCTCGCCCTCTCCTTTGTCGGGCACCTGCAGACCTCCAACGCACAAGTCGCATCAGCAGTGCTTCCGCATGGCTCACAGGCAAATGAATGAATGGCTTGGCGCTGCCTCTTTATTTATACAGTTTCGTTGGTGGTCTGGCCTGTCTTCAGTCCCAGGCCCTAAGAGTGTGCAGCCCCACCTGGTACTTGCTGACTAGACAAGGTGGACTGGGACTGGGACTGGACTCCTCCTTGCTGACTCAGCTACGGACGACTAGCTACTACCGGTCCGAAAGGTCAAATAGCGACTTCTAGAACTTCCTAAGTTCGACTGACTGACTCTTCGCTAGACTTAGGGCTAACCTCCCCCTCGCTGACTCAGCTAGCCTACTGACTTCTTGAAGGTCCTAGGCTAAGGGCTAGGCAGACCCTTAGGACTACTAATCCTACTGTCTACGGTTGGAATCCCCACGACCCAACTAACAGACAGGACACAGACCTATGACTTTTAAGGGCCAGGTCGCGGGTTCGAGACACACAGGGTCAACGGGTAGCTGTACAGGGGTCCGGGAAGGTAGGGATCGAGCCCTGGGATCCGCACTGTCGCGCGAACTGAGTGAAACCGTTTCACAAGCGGCAACCAAGCGACAACAAAATTCTGTACTTGAGTCTGTCGTGGAAGCGCTGTTGTGGTTTTGTGCGGTCAAGCGTCAAGTGAGGCTGGGAGGCAGTCCAGTACTGTAGCGAGCAAGACAACGAGGAACAAGGAAGACATCCAGAGAGGAAGGAAGAGGCCTGAGGGTAGTTAGGATATGAGAGAGAGAGAAAGATAGGGAGAGACATACCTGTCTGAGTTGCCCGGCGGCCATAGCTGCCCGAATGTACATGTATGAGACTTTGCTGTACACGGATTTCGACTTCTGAAGTGATTCCTGAAGTGTGCTCATATCATGTTGGTTTGCATCTGGTGTGTGGACCTTTGCATGCTGAAGTAAAAACGTGTGACATTGAGAGAATCAGTGTGAATTCGTGGTATCAATGTCAATTTTATAATTAGACAGTTTTTGGTTGTCCTTGCGGTACCCCTTTCATTGTTTTTGCAGCTCCCCTTTTACTGTGCCTCTTACGCACAAGGCTGTCCACGTTGATTGTGGTTGAGCGGCAGCTGCCCACATCCCCGTGTGCCTTCACGGCCCACTTGCACGTTATTTCAGGAGGCAGAGTAAAAGGGAAGGTATGCTCCTGTGCATCTCTTCAGAGCTTCATACTCCTGTTCATTTCACTTCAGATCTTCAGCTTATACAGTCTTCGTGTCTGTCCTTTATCTTCATACTTCCGCTCATTTCATTTCTGATCTTCATATCATCTGCACTCTTAATGATGCTCATTCGTATGTATTTGTAAGTAGCACAAAGGGAGTGGAGGGGAGGGTGGGTGGAGGGTAAGGGATAGAAGGCGGAGTTCTATAGGAGTATGGGGCAGGGGAGGTAGAGGCAACGGGAAGGAAAGAATTATGTGGAGGGCAGAATAGAGTATGACATGCAAAGAGCAGGGGAGAGGTGTACGACGAGCTTCACAGATTTCTAAATATTCACCGCTGAAACAGGCTACTGAAGCAAAACAAAAAACCTATGGCGAGTGGCCACCCCTACAGACCGGACAGGACCGGTTCGGGTGTGGGCTATGGAAGCATCGCATCCAATTTTGGCAGTTACAGTTGCTGCATCCAATGGCACGGCGCAGACAGATGTCACAGGCTACGTGGCTCGTACATGCTAGGAACACAGAGGCACGCCGACCGCAATTATAGAGGCATTGCCGTTCCAGCCCCTGAGTACAAATTGGACATGACATGTCGGGGTGTCGTGCATGAGTACAGTACTCACTGTCATCGTACGTATGGAAGCAAGAACTCGCATGGACGATCCCTTCATAATCTGCATGGCACAAGGCATGCGAACCACATGCTAGTTGAATCTCCGGTGTGTGTGTGTGTGTGTGTGTGTGCGTCTGTGTGTATGTTTGTGTGTCCATCTGCGGGCGTGGGCATATGCACCGAAAACAGCAAGACCCAAACGCTTGGAAAGCGCCAAGACCTGCCAGCCAATTCCAAAAAACCACAAGTGTGCGCCCCGTAGAGAGCCAAATGCCCAAGATCTATGATCAGGGGAAGCCAGAGGGTGCAGATGGGTGCAGAAGTGAGAAATCGGGAAACTGATCGGAACCTCAGGCCTCAGCCAACGAATGCCCTAAAATCGAGACAAAGTGAACCCTTCGGTGTGTAGAGTTTAAAAAAACGGGTACCCGCAGCTGACTGGCTTTAAAGGGTTGGAGTGGATGGATCTGTATCCCAGAAATGATCAATATGAATATTGATGAACTTTTTAGTTTGGCATCCAATTAGTCCCCGAAAGGCCTGAACCCATGAACCGGGCAACATACCTTTTGCTCTAATTCTTCCTTCATTGACTTCAACGCCTCATCACTGACACTTTTCTGCATGGACTGCTCCAACTCCTTCCGCATCTGCTCCTTGATCTGCGTCAGTTTCTCATCACTGACATCCCTCTCCACAATCTTCTCAACCATTCGGACCTCCGGTGGACGATCTGGAGTGGCCACTAGCCCCTGCTGCAGCTGTGCCCTCAGCCTGCAGAATTCATCCATTCAGCATCCATGACTTGTGCATACAATGTCAGACAGAATTCATGCATACAGTGTCAGCCACCATCCATACAGTCTCAGCTACAGATAAAAAAGCGGTGCTGTTTTTGCCAGTCACAGTCGTCAAGCAACTTCACCCACATACCACTCCCATATAGTATATCCGAGCACTCAAGCTAGAAAGCACAGGCTGACAGCACAGCCATTGTTATATGCTGATTCCGTGACCCCATAACCTTGAAGTTCAACAAAGCATTGACAGTATTCAGCGTTTCGCATGTCGTCATCTAACTGAGAGGGTGGTAACTTCCCAATAGAGAATTGTGTTAAGGACCTGCCAAAACAGGACTGAGAACACAGCTGATTTCTGAGTTTTGCCGCTGAACTTGCTGAGATTCCCTCTTTTTGCTGAGTTTTCGAAGTCTGTGTGTGTGCGAGAACACAGCTGATTTCTGAGTTTTGCCGCTGAACCTGCTGAGATTCCCGCTTTTTGCTGAGTTTTCGAAGTCCGTGTGTGTGCGAGTTTGCTGGTCTGCGTGACTGTCTGAGTGCTTGACAGCCTGAGTGCGTGTCATGTGGCCCACCACGGCACTTGTTTGTTTGGGAGGCCCGCAGGGGCCAGTATTTACATGTGGCTGTGACTTTGGGGTTGCAGCTGGTAAAAACACTCGAAGTGGCCGAAGGGTTAGCTTAGGGCACACCGAAGTAGCGGTAGTGTAGGCTCGTAGGTACTTGAGTAGCGGTCGGCCGAGCAGAAGAAGGCAAAAAGTTAGTACTCTTAGAGGTCCAGTAGCGGTAGGCTAGGTCTACCTTCTTAACCCGAAAAAAACGTACGTACCTTGTATACGAATACAACGTACGGGGTACGTTGTATTTGAATACAACGTACGTACGTTATAGAACGAGTTTTAGGGTACAACTTTTCAGAAGCCTGTAGTACCGCCATTGTTTTTATTTTTATCTCGAATTTGGTTGGGAATTTCGCCAAGACCCTCAGGCAAAAGTTTTTTGCATTGCAATTTTGTACAACATACTTTTTTTTCGGATTTTTTACTGAAGTTTTTTTTTAAATCGAAATTCTGAAAAAATTCAGTAAAAAACAATTTCATCCTCGTTTTTATTTTTTTCTCGAATTGTCTCGTGAATTTCGATAAGACCCTCAGGCAAACGTTGTTCGTATTGCATTGTTGTATAACATTTTATTTTTTTCGGATTTTTTTATTATTATTTTTTAATAATCAAAGTTCCAAAAATTTGAATACAACATACGTATGTTGTATTCGAATACAACATACGTACATTATATTCAAACGTACGTTCTATTCGGGGAAAAACAAGCGATTTCTGAAAACCCGATTTCCAGAGGTAATTCGAATAGAACGTACGTACGTTTTTGTCGGGTTAAGAAGGTAGGCGGGTACCGGTCCAAGTAGCCTGAGTCTAGAGCCTGTGCACGCGATCCCTCCGAAAGGGAGGAGGCACCGGTAACTTAGAGGCTGCGCATGTTGCATGGAGGTTGCGTGGTACATTCAAGCAACCGGCCGTGATGCTGGTTGCCCGCTATACCTACAGGCAGAGCAAGCTTCTCTGTGCAAGCGTGGGCGTCACGCTACTGGAGCGCCTGGTGGAGAGAGCTAGTGTGCAGCGCTGGGAGAGGAGCACCCAGCCCTCCACCTTCAGCTATGGTGGACGGGCTTGGGTAGGAGGAGGAGGAAGCAGGGACTAGGAGAGGGGGGGAGCACCAGAGATACTTACCTGGCTATGGGTGGATGCCATCTTCATCACCTTGGTAGGCGCTGCATATGGAAGGCCCCGGTTGGGGTAGGGCTGCATCAAGAAGCTTCGAGGCAGAGTCAGGCGCTGATACATGCTCGATCAAGCAATGCATATGGAGCCAAGGATCCGCCAAGTGATGAAAAGCACTTGAATGGACAATGCAGCATCAGCAAAGCATCAACAAGCAATGTACATCCAGATACATACGAAAATAGCACAATTTAGCACAGCGGAAGACTCAGAGATATCACCCGACCTGTCAGATAGCGACGCGGAACCCCATCATACACCACACATGTGAAAGAGGGGAGGGACCGCAAACATGGGCAAAAAGGCCCTCCTTGAGCACGCACATGGGAAGATGCCACGGATGAGGAGATTGGGGGAAGAGGCAAGACAAAGATGGAGACGAGGGAGAAGGGGGAAGAGGCGAGATGAGGGAGAAGACCAAAATCGCGATAGCGAAGTCCAAAAATAGTCTCCCTGCCGAATGTCCAATCAATGTCTGCCACAAAAATGTCGAATCAGATCCTGGGTCTCATGGCCCGATGTAACCTTTGCCTGTAACCTCTCTCTCTCTCTGTGAAAGAAGAAGAAGAAGAAGAAGAAGAAGAAGAAGAAGAAGAAGAAGAAGAAGAAGAAGAAGTAAGAGGAGGAAGAGGAAGAAGAAGAGATGGAGGGTGAGAACAGGAAGAAGAAGAAGAAGATGTCATCCTCCTTGCTGTCTCACCTGCAGATAACTGCTGCCATGTACTAACCTGAAAGGGTCTTCACCCAGTTCGTGCGGCAAGTGCAGATCCCAGGGATCGATCCCTAGACACATCCCATACCCTTGTACAGTTACCTGACGCCCTTTGTGCCTTGAACCCGCGACCTGTCTCTTAAAACGTATGTCTGTGTGTTGTGTACGTAGTTAGGGTCGTGTGGACTTAAACCGTAGACTATAGGATTAGTAGTCCTAAGGGTATGCCCAGCCCTAAGCCCAGGGTCTTCTAGAAGTCGGTATGTTAGCTGAGTCGGCGAGGGGGAGGTTAGCCCTAAGTATAGCGAAGGGTCAGTCAGTTGTAGCCTAGGAGGTTCTAGAATCGTCAACTTGCCCTTTCGAGGCTGTAGAAGTCAGTCGTCCGTAGGTAAGTCAGCGAAGTACAGTCCAGTCCCAGTCGCAGTCCCAGTCAACCTTGTCTAGTCGGCAAGTACCAGGTGGGGCTGCACATCCCTTGGGCTTGGGACAGAAGGCAGGCCTAGACGAAACGGTATAAATAAAGAGGCAGCACCCAGCTATTGATTCATTCGCCTGTGAGCCATGCGGAAGCGCTGCTGGTGCGACTTGTGCGTTGGAGGTCTGCAGGTGCCCGACGAAGAAGAGGGCAGCGGCCATAGCCGCTAGTAGAAGAGGAAGACGCCGGCTGCCATAGACACCAGGTTGCTGACGTCAACAGATAGGACATAGCGTGTGTTTTAGATTTTCCCCACAACAGCCCCAATTCCACCCAGGTGAATAGATTCAGAATCAAAGCAGTCTTTATCCTATTGCAGACAACGAGAGCATTTGAGATGTCCAACATATTAAAGCAATTTTATAATTAGACAGTTTTTTGGTTGTTCTTGGGGTACCCCTTTCATTGTGCTTGCAGCTCCCCTTTTATTGTGACTCTTACGCGCAAGGCTGCCCACGTTGATTGTCAGCTGCCCACATCCCCGTGTGCCTCCACGGCCCACTTGCACGTTATTTCAGGAGGCAGAGTAAAAGGGAAGGTAATGCAATCTTCATCTTCATACTTCCGTTCATTTCATTTCTGATCTTCATATCGTCTATACTCTTAATGATGCTCATTCGTATGTATTTGTTAGCAGTACAAAGGGAGTGGAGGGGAGGGTGGACGGTAAGGGATAGAAGGCGGAGTTCTCTAGGAGTATGGGGCAGGGGAGGKAGGGGCAACGGGAAGGAAAGAAATATGTGGAGGGCAGGATAGAGTGACATGCAAGAGCAGGGGAAAGCTGTATGACAGGTCTCACAGATTTCTAAATATTCACCGCTGTGAGTGGCCACCCCTACAGACTGGACAGGACCGGTTCGGGTGTGGGCTATGGAAGCACCTCATCCAATTTTCGCAGTCACAGTTGCTGCATCGAATGGCACGGCGCAGACAGATGTCACAGGCTACGTGGCTCGTACATGCTAGGAACACAGAGGCACGTCGACCGCAATTATAGAGGCATTGCCATTCCAGCCCCTGTCTACAAATTGGACATGACATGTCGGGGTGCCGTACATGAGTACAGTACTGACTGTCGTCGTACGTACGGAAGCAAAAACTCGCATGGACTATACCTTCATAATCCTCACGGCACAAGGCATGTGAACCACATGCTAGTTGAATCTCCGGCGGGTCATCACAAACCGGCATGGAGCATCTTTCTTGGGCTTCCTCAGTATGTATTCCTTCTCTGTGGGCAGACGACGACAGGGAGGATCGGTCCAACGCAAGGGCATTCAGCTGCTGCAGGATATGATCCGCAACAGCCCGCCCTGGTGGTGATAAACTATGAGCACATCGCTCTGTCGGTGGCTCATATAGAAGTTTATTTTCCTCCTCGGACTGCTGTGTTCGCCGTTCGTCTGGCAAGAAAGAGGGAGATCTGTCAGCGGTTGCCGTAGGTGTATGACCAATGCCGCATGTGGGACATGCTAGGAGAGGATATGGAGGGTGATGGCACCGGGGATAGTCCACGCAGTAAAGACACATACTTTCTATAACAGCTTCCTGGAAGCATTGACGACACATGGCATGTTGCTGACATGTCATTAGTATGGAAGGCTGACGTGCACAGTTATTTAAGCATGGCAGGTCAAGGCCACAACGGCATGCTGGGCAAGTAATCAGGGGGTGGGGGGGATGAGCACAGGACTGGGGATCACAATTTTCGTGTGAGAGGCTAGCAAGAGCCGTCCCTTCATAGTGTTCGGAGCAGAGGCTATGTCGTGTACATGCCAACTGAACTGTACCTGTGCGACGACACAACGGGAGGGCACAACCATCATCCTGTSRAGAGGYCCTTTCACTGTTTGTGGTAGARTCAGCMGGATTGSTCTMCGGGGGGTGCAGTGCTTGCAAATGCTCATCGACATACTGTTCCTGATGGATGAGCCAGACTGAGTGACCCTCCAGCATTTGGTGATAGAAAGAGTTAATATTTCCCACTGTGTGCACCATACCGCCATTGTCCCATAGGGTCCATGAACTATCTGCAAAGGTAAGAGCACTGAAGTGACCTGGACGATATAAGACATATGCCCGAATATTCGGATCCGTGCCTGGCTCGTGGTTTTGCGGAGCAGGCTGGAATTGCAGTCGCCTACCCATAAATGCCATAGCCAGGACTTCTATGTTCACCCCAGGCGCAGCGCTGTCATCGTCTGGGCAGACGGCACGGTGCTCTTCTTCTATCCAGCGAACAACGTCTGCAAAATCAGCAACAGTATAAGGATTCCAATTGTAAGCAAGGAGACATACATTAATGGAATAGTGCGCACAGCGCCCTCGCTGTAGCGCTATGACATTGTCTGATTCCGCAGGTTGCGTGGGGGATCGGTTTACGGCAGGGGGGTCCTCGTTCAATTCTGCAGGTTGCCCAGGTGGCGGAGACTCGTTGTGGTCTTGACCAATTGGCTCCGGTATGTGCTCCGGAGAGAGATGATCTTCAACCGGGGGCTCCGTCAGGTAATCAGGAGACGGGCCATTGTCATTTGCGGCAGGGGAGCGAGTGGGGCTAGGTGGATGAGAGAGGGGCGGGTCAGGTGGGTGATAACTGGGTGGACCAGATGTGGGAATTGGAAGCTGATCAGCCTCACTTGTGCTTAGAGCGGCTGCTAGTCGTGCAAACGCTGCGCAAGTAGCTGCACCTTGTGTCTGGTGCACTCATAAGCCTGCAGCACTGAAGAAATCATCGCCGCATTGCGGGCATCGGACTCGATGTGCACTATTCCTCGCTAGTGTATACTGAAAGCGACGATGTCGTTCCGTACGGTTGCAAGCATGTCGTCGGAGCAGATCTCTAACTCCTGCAGGGGGCGCGGTGATCATGCCATTCAACGACAAACGAGGCCGCTGCCTTGGAGGCTGTTGTGGAGACGGGGAACGTCTCCGCCGAAGAGGCATCTGTAATGATCGATCTAACAACGGATACCTCAGCCGACAGGGCCTTTTTGACGGCCGATCTGACCATGAGTGTGTTGATGATGAGGAGGTCGATCATGAGGAAGTAGAGGAAGAAGAAGATGATGATGATGCAGATGACTGAGAGGATGCTGCAACAGAGGACGTCGGAGGGGGTGGCGGTGATGATGGCGGTGATGGTGCTGATAATGATGGCAGTGGTGGTGGTGGTGGTGATGGCGGGGGTGATGGTCGTGGTGGTGGAGGCGGCGGTGGCAGCAGTGGCAGAGGAGGTGGTGTACCTTCAGCAACAGCAGCAACAACAACAGTCGTTGTATTGGTAGGATGCTGGCCTTCATCCCTTACTGCCATTTCGGTAACGTTCACAATGTTTACTGCGGCTGGCATGATCTCTGGCTGAGTTGGCGTATCAACGTTAGCGTTTGCCATTTCAGCACAGATAACAGGGGGGGGCGGGCGGTTTGATTGTGCGGAGGGCTGATGCTGGCTGCGGTCAACATTGGTGTCAGGTGATGAGTGGTGGTCTCTTGTGTGCGGTTGGGTGGAGGACCTGCGCACTGAATCAGCTTTCGTGAGTGGGTGAGCGATTGCCCAGCGAACCATTCGGCGAAACCAATTTGAAAGTCGTGTGACATGAGTTGGTAGCCGGCATTGTCGGCCACGCACATATGCAGTCCAGCCTCTAGCCAGGACACTGGGAGGATGGCCCCTGAAAAGCATACGTCGTGTCAGGGAAGTCACTGCCGCTTTGAAGTCGGTAGTATTGTTACATAAATGTTCGAATCTCGTTAGTTGTCCCGTGAGCACACCTGCAGGCTGATGTGCCGGAGCATTGGAGGAAGCACTGGGATAACGTATGACAGGGAACGTCCAGTTCTCGGCCTTATCAAATACGCCAATGCGAAGTGAGCCATCTGGCCGAACCAAGATTCTTGCCCCAAGGAAAAGACATGACCCATCTTGCTCAGTAGTGTCTTTCCACTCGAGACCATACCGAGCAGGAGACGGCGGTAATGTCTTCCAAGATAGAATGTCATCAATGAATCGATACGTGAATGCATATGCTTGCGCAGCACGCAGATCTCGCTGACGAAGATCACCGATGAACTGTGCTTCGTCCCAATAAAGCGTGAGGTTGGCAATTTCTGGTCCAACGTTAGTGCCCATAGGGATACCGACCACCTGATGGCGCAGAGTGTCATCCCTTATACAAAGGTAAGTATTAGAGACCACAAACCGCAGATGTTGCTCTATTTCTGACACTGAGAGGGTGTCTGGCCCATGTGAAGTAACCCACTCCCCACGATGAGGACCACCTATAGTCATGTACATTTGTACTGGCCTTCTAGCCAGTGAGATCCGCCCCAAAGCATAATCATGTGCTTCACGAACAGCATTCAGAACATTGTTAAGAACCCTGTCGTGTGGCAGGTTCGTGTACATAGTTGTACAGTCCGCTATATGTGGTGTAGAACCTCGAAGGGATTGTGCATTCTACTTGAGATCCATAATGACTTCCTCAACACTTTGCACGATCCAGCAACGCCGTACACCAGTTTCTTGATAAAGCTCATTATCCTTATTGCGCAGGGACTTTATCACACCTTGAAGGGCGTAGCTAAGTGACCGGGAGGCCATTGTTGTACTTGCAAAAGGCTTATGAGGGGGTCTGTTGTGCAGGTCCGTAAATGAAGGTCGGTGAGGTGTTGTGCAAGGTGCAGATCGGGAAAGGTTGCTTCGTTGTGTAACTCCAAGAATCAGACGAAGGGAAGGTGGAGATTTGTGTGCTTCGAGTGCAAAGTAGAGATAGGGCAGGGTGTCAGTATGTCGATAGCCCCAACGTTGGTTGAAAAGTGCATGGCGTTCGAGGATGCTGGCCACAGTCTCCGATGCTTGATTATAGGTGAAACTGCCAAGATGTTGTGATAAGTTATATTTGTACCAGCGCTTGCAGCAGATTGCCATGTTGTGTGATGTTTTATCGACAGGTACTATAGCGAATTGCTGTTGTAGATGCCGAAGAGATGTGTTGGCAGCACGCGAGGCAGTTTGAGTAGGTGCTTGGTACAGTGACGTAGTAATATTCCGTTGGCATCTTGAAATTGAAAGAACCGATGTGCGCCATCTGCGCAGCTGAGAGAGACTGTCAGCAATCAGAGACTCATTATTGCGTGCTGATCTCATGGTTGCTATAAATTTAGCAATATACTCGTCCAGCCCGAGTTTCAATGCTTTCATCACATCTGTGGTGTCGACATTGACGTAGCGTGTGTGTATGTGTGTGCATGGACATTCAGGGTAGATCCCATCGTGTGTGTATTTGCGGAGTGAGCCTGATGGTGGACACAGTGTGCGAGTGGGAATAAAGACTGGCGTTTGGACGCCATAGCCGCAAGTTGGGACAAGTTGACTTATATCGAGTTTCTAGCCAAAGGCCATATATTGAGTTTTTTGTATAGGCGTTGTGCGCCATCTCACGCTTGTTGCTGATTCTGCCTTGTGAAAGTTCGTCAGCCATCGACATCTATATGTATGGATGTTGAAAGTGAGGTTGAAGACATGTCTGATTACACTGGTATCAGAGCTGGTTCCCGTTGTCTGCGCCAGCACACCTGTCACTGCGACGAAGGAGACAGACGGCGAGAAGAAGAGAGTGACAGCGAGAGAGAGAAGGGGACGCCCATGAGGAGGAAAAAGATTGTCCCCCATAGTGGACGGCAGCCATTGCCGCCAAGCTCGAAGGAAGAAGAAGACAAGTTAGGAAGGAGGAGTAGACGAGATAGGGAGAGAGAGAGAGATGATAAAGGTGAGGCAAGCCATAGCCGGCCGAGAGGAGAGAGAAGTCGGCCATAGCCAAGCTTAAGGACGATAAAGAAGAAGGGCGAAGTTGACAAGTTGATGGTGGGAGAAGAAGCCACCATAGCCAACGTTGACCGGAGCTGACTGGCATTGACCAAAGTTGACCGTCGTTGACCAGGGGATTGACCGGTGAGGCTTGACCAAGCGATTGACCAGTGTTGATCGGCGAACGTCGACCGTTCCCGTTGACCAAGTTGGAGTGCGGAGCGAGGAGCGGTATAATCCCTTCAAGCCCTAGCCCTTGTCCCTATGCCTTGTGGATGATGCACACTCACCTTGGTACTTGCTGAGAGTCAATTGTCATCTCTTTCTGCATCGAGTCACTTCTGTCCAGGTCCATAGGCTTTGTGTATGTGGTTAGATAGGGGCTGTGATCCAATGTCTGCATGGGACTTAGGGGGTTGAGGTGTATCTGACGCTAGACGACCTGGGAAAACACCCCAAGGACCGGTACAGACAGGCAGGTTGCTCTGAGTGGTACACTATACTCGAACTCCGAGCTGCAGAGCGGGTGTCAGTCTGTCTAAGTCTTGAGAGGACCTTGGTTGTGATTGTTGTCATGACTGTGACGGTAAAGAGTTCCTGAGTTGTGGGGGACCTCCCTAAAATGCCTCCTGATCAGCCAATGGACCTGCGATGACAAAATAGTGTAGCTTAGGCTAGAATCGAGTAGTTGACACAGTGTCGACCCGAAGTGGAAGCCAGGTGGGTTTCTGTGATTGTGGGTGCGAGCGCATCCATCGGCAGTGGAAAGTTTGGTGATTGTGGTTGCGAAAGCATCCGACGGCAGTGGAAAGACTGGTGACTGTGGTTGCGCTCGCATCCGTCGGCAGTGGAAAGTTTGGTGACTGTGGTTGCGCTCACATCCGTCGGCAGTGGAAAGTTTGGTGACTGTGGTTGCGAAACCATCCAACGGCTATGGTAACCTGGCTGAATCAGAAGGGAGATCTTTGTAGTCCTATAGAGAGTCAAAGTCTAAAGGGTAAGTACACGTGTTGAGGAGTGGAACCGTTAGTGATTGTACCCTGTCAACACGGTGACCACCAGGAACGGAACGAGCACCACCCCCTATAGTAAAGCACAAGAAGGGAGGGCTGCCACAATTCTCCGTGAGAAGAAGGAAAAGATGGAGAAGAAAGAGCTGACCAGACATACCTAGAAATTGGCCTTACTGGAAGAAGAAGCAACTAAAAAGAAACAGATGGAGGAAGAGATGGAAAGGTGGAAGGAGCAGGAAGAGAAGTTGGCTGCAGTCGAGGCAAAAGAAGAAGAAGAAGAAGAAGAAGAAGAAGAAGAGCCCTTGATCTGGAGAAGGGGGAAAGCAAGTTCCAACACGAGTCCACTAGGGGAGGTGGAGAAGGCAGTAAAGGAATGGGTAACTAACTTATCACTGGGGGAAGATAAAGAGGCAGAGCTAATGATTCCCCAAGAAGAGAGAGAAGCGGTTAACAAAGAGTTAGAAGCACAAAGGGATCCCTTGCATCGGCAAGCAAGGGAACAAGAAAAGCAGTTAAAGTGGAAGTTGCGCTTTGGGCAAAAAAGGAGGAGGCGCTTGGAGGTGGCAGATCGGATGGAGAAAGAATTGAAGGCGGAAGATACACGACTAAGAAAGATAGGGGAAGAGACCGAGTTGGGAAAAAAAATTGACACCCTATCCCGTAATGTAGAGTCCATCCTGACCGCTCAACAAGAATAGCTGAAACATATTTGCAGCCATGATATCACGCTCGAGTTCGTACGAGATGGATTTCGAGAGTTTGCGCAAGACATGACAACCCAGTTAGTTGGGGAGATCCATAGAGCAATAGGGAGGACGTAGAAGTTTTGTAGACGCGTGATAGAGGGTGCCAAACTAGCAAACCCTAAGGAGGAAGAGGTCCAACCCCGCCGAGAAAGGGTCAAGGTCCATTTCCACGAGCCATATAGTGGAAAGAAGGGGGAGGATTTTGACAATTGGAAGGCCAACGTCCATTCATATATGTACCTAGAGGGCGTAGACCCCAAGGGTCATGACATGGCAGCCTTCCAGGCTCTGTGAGAGGAAGCGGCCAGCTTCGCACGATCGCTCACAAGCGCAACCCACAGCGAGAATGACATGATACAACAGTCCATCACCCACCTCACTGACTTTCTCGCCAAGTTCCGAGAATGCTTTCCGAACACCACGAGCAGGATAAAGGCGTCCGACAAACTCCAAACAATCCACACGCGGCAATGGAAGAGTGTACATGCTCTAAAGGCTGCCATGGACAAGCTTATCGATGTGCCAGGACACAGAGTGACTGAGGCCCAACTCGTCCTCCTCTTTTACCGCGCATTGCCCAAGCAAGTGCAAGGGCACTTCTTTGCCAAAAAACAACAGCCTCGAATGACATACGATGTCCTTAGTAGAGAGGTTGTCACGTTTGCTGCCCAAGATATGTTAGTTACCACTTTCTGGCATAAGGATCTCACAAAAGGGAAAAGTGGAAAGGACACACCATCTCTGGCCAGGTGTTACATGCCGCGCCTGCACACGGGCCCATTTGACGGGCCCGACGGTCGCTGGGGGGCCCCCAGGCCGCGTGCCCATCTGACACGTGCCCCAAAGGCCGGGACGGCCTTTAGGCCGCAAATACGGGTCGTAGGCAGCACTTATTCATTTGCTGTCCTATTCTTGTCTGTTCAGACGTCGTTTCAGACTTGCAAACCCAAGGCGAGGCCTTGGGGCATAAGGATCTGACAAAAGGGAAAAGTGGAAAGGACACACCATCTCTGGCCAGGTGTTACATGCTGCGCCTGCACACGGGCCCATTTGACGGGCCCGACGGTCGTTGGGGGGCCCCCAGGCCGCGTGCCCATCTGACACGTGCCCCAAAGGCCCGGACGGCCTTTAGGCCGCAAATACGGTTTGAGGCAGCACTTATTTATTTGCTGTCCTGTTCTTGTCTGTTCAGACGTCATTTCATACTTGCAGTCCCCAAGGCGAGGCCTTGGGCTGGATACACCAGGAGGCAGGGCCAATCGGGGCCAGGCGCACTTTGGCGCCCTGCTGCATCAGCAGCACGGTGTGGACACCCGGTAAGGGCCCCGACCGTGCAGGCCATTTCAGGCCGCGCTGCAGCACACCCAGTCGGGCCCAGCGTTGTATATAGCTAGGCCATGGCTTGGGCAGACACAATTCGAGTAGCTCACTTCTTGAGCGACATGCTGCTGGATTAGCGCTGTGCTACAAAGCATTGCGCCTGAGGTTACTAGTAGAGGCGTAGGAGGCAAAGGCGGAGGCCATACCTGCAGCGGGGTCACCTGGCACCATAGCTAGGGCTTCATGGGCGCGCCGACCTGCACACGACAATGATGAGACGATGATCAGTCCACGGCGACGGTTCCTGCAGGTGAGACAACAAGGAGGACGATATTTCTTCTTCTTGGTCTCGTCTCCCTCTTGTCTCCCTTCTTCCTCCTTCCTCCTCTCTTCTTCTTCTTCTTCTTCTTTTTTTTTTTCTTCTTCAGAGAGAGAGAGAGAGAGAGAGAGAGAGAGAGAGAGAGAGAGAGAGAGAGAGATAGATTACAAGCAGAGGTTACATCGGGCATAGCGCCCAAGATCTGATCCGACACTTTTGAGGCAGACATTGATTGGACATTCGGCAAGGGACTATTTTTGGACTTCGCTATCGAGATCTTGGTCTTCTCCCTCGCCTCCATCTTCATCTCACCTCTCCCCCCATCTCTCATCCGTGGTATCTCCCCCATGTGTGTGTACAAGGAGGGACCTTTCTTCCATGTATACGGTTCTTCCTCCTCCTTTCACATGTGTGCTGTATGATGGGATGTCGCGTCAGTCCCAGTTAGGGCAGGTCTTATTTTTTAGTCCTCCACTGCGCTACGTTGTGCCATTTTGTATGTATCCGGATGTACATTGCTTGTTGATGCTTCACTGACATTGCATTGTCCATTCCAATCCTTTTCATCACTTTGCGGACCCTTGGCTCCATACATATTGCCCAACTGGGCATGTGTCATTTGGTATCGGAGCCCCGCATGTGAATCAGGATGCAACCTGATCTGACCCATGTATGGGGACGATCGATCAATCGATCGATTGATTGCTTGCTTGCTTGCTTGATTGATTGATTGATTGATCATTGATTGATTGATTGATTGATTGGGTAGTTGATGAGAGTACCCTAATTAGTCCCCAATTTTGCGAAGTTTTGACCTAACTGCCAAAAAAAAAAATTATTCTCTTTGATTTTCTTCTTTCGCGGAATTTCGTTTGTTGAGAAATTGCAAATTCCGACATAGCGCAGCAAATTTCCGATTTTTTATTTCTTGAATTTTGGAAATTCGTCGTTGATAAATCCGAAATATATATATATTTTTCCGGACTATTCGCGTTAATTCGTTTATTAAAATTTCTGAATCACGCACTCACTAAGTAGCTGAAGTTCGATTTCCCTTGGTTTGGAAATTCCGAATATATTTTTTTCAGTTACTTCATTATTTCAAAAATTCAGAATTTGTTTTTGCATTAATTCGGTCCTTTTTTTTTTCGGATTCACGCAGTCAAGTGGTTGCAAGAAATTTCGAATTTCATTTCATTTTTTTCGATATTCTCGTTATTTTAAAATTCTGAAATTTTGTTTTCTGGAAAATCTCTCTTTTGCAGTTAAGTTCGGGATTACTTCCCAATATGAATTTTTGTTGCACATCCTCTCATCTGAATTAAGTTCGATATATTCTTTGGAATTACTTGAACTTGTGGAAAGTTTTTTTCTTCAGTTCTATTATTTATTCGTTATTATCATTCCTCATTTGCAGTCAAAAATTAGAAATTCTTTTATTTTTTTCGAATTTCTGGAAGGGGATTGGGAGACCTACTATTTTCTTTTCTTTTTGACTAGTGGCTCCTTATCTGGGCGATCGCTCCCACCTACCTCATCTTTGCTGTTGCATCATCTTTTCTTCCCTTCTCCATTGTCTTCAGGTACTCCCTACTGCAGCATTGGCAAGTTGCCACATCAGCAGGCCACGTCGTCAGCGACATGTCAGTCGACATTCAAGCCACATCAGCAGTCTAAGCGCCACGTCAAGCGAGCGCCACGTCAGCAGTCTTGCAGCCCATGACTATGAGCACGCGTTCTGAGACAACTGTCATGGACTAGAAGCCAAGGGAATCGGCCGAGGCCTATCAGGCCCAGATGCCGACCTTGATAACCGAAGCTAAGCAACGGTCAAATGCGGTGACAGCCGCAGAGAAGAAAAAGGCAGAGGCAGAGAAAGCACGTCTGCTGGTGGAAGAACAACAACGCCAGCATGACGAAGCAACAACAAGGGCTACCGATGAGGAACGCAACATTCGGCACGAGAAGGTATTTGGGGAGGAGAGAGTTATACTCACGATGGCTGCGCAAGGGCGGAGAGAGGCAGAGACTGGTGAACTCAGAGACAACGGACTCGAGATCTCGTTGTTACTCTCCCACCTTACGAACCTCTTGGCGACATGCATTGCACAACGGGAGGATATCCACTGCCTCAACGACGTGGTCAAGGACCACAAGGCGTCGCTTGCTCAAGTAAACAGCCGCCTACAGCAGTTGGAGCAACGACCCGTCGCCGCCACCGACGTCACCTCCTCCAACCATGTCGATCGCCTCCACACATTCGAGATCGATGTCGGAACACTCAAGGATGGAGCACAACTACAGCAAGTGACAACTCAACAGCTTGAGCAGCAGATCTATCCAGCAGCCACTGGCCCTAGCACGTCACTGCATGAGAGCATTCCAAAGTTCGAGGCCAACCGATCTACTGTGACGCCACGAAGACGGACCCAATTCCATGGCTTTGCCAGTTTGAGCTCAAGCTGGAGATCCACCAAACCAGCGACGCCAAACGACACGCGTACTTGTACTCCTGGTAGGGAGGCGCGTGCCAACCTTGGCTGGACAATATGTTGTCCACGCACGAGGTCGCGGTCTCCGACTTGCACACCAAGATCAGCTGGCATGATCTGAAGGCGGTGTGGCCCAATCGGTTCCAAGTGGAGCCGGCCAAACTTCAAGCAATGGACATACTGCTGAAGTTCGAATTGAACACGTTGCCGAGTGGAGATTGGATCACCGAGTACCAACGCTTAGCGTCCACGCCGGGCGTACTGATGGGCTTCACGAGCCTCAAACACTACTTCATCATGAGGTCGTGTCCAGCATTGTCTAATGCTTTGACACAAGTCGCATAGACTCTTACCACGAGTATGGAGCTCTTCAACAAGGCCGCGCAAATTATCATCACGAACACGGAGACCAAAAACCTTGGTCGTTCGCCTGCGGCAAGCCTAAGCAGAGAACAACATCGGTCGAAAGTGGTCGTGGTCGCAGCCGCAATGCTGACCGACCCTTCAAGCACGGCCTCGTCTGCTAATGAGGGTGACAGACTCGCAGCCACCCGGGATGGTGGCCGCCCTGGCAAAGGACGCTGCAGATCGAAGACCAACACTGCTTCAAACCTCGGACCCACAACGGTCTCTGGAAAAGCATATACAAAATACGCACAAGATTCCGATACTGTTTGTGGTGCGACAGCGACCTCCACGAGACAGCCGTCTGTCCTTTGAAAGCCAAGGGGAAAACCCACTTGAAAATTGAGCGCCGCCGAGAGTGATGCGACGACACTCTCGATGCCTTCGGATCTGGTTGCTGCGTGAGCAACCTTCCTTATTACCGAGGCACATGCGGAAGTCGATAGTCCTCCCATCTTATATTCTTATGAGGACTATGCTGCCTGGCCCGTTCCTTCGCTGGCCACTCATACTCATGTATGCGGTATGTTCTCCGCCCGGAAGCGGCGACTTATAGTCTTCAAGTGGTTCTTCACGGGATTCAGCGCGTGAATTCAACATAGAGGTATTGGACCCTCTCACGTCCGAGGATTTCGCATGGCTTCCTCTTCCAACCACAGGCCGCTTGCCGGGACCGCAATGCACAACACTATGCTCATCGTTATACCTACTTATCCTCATATGCACCACCAACTTCACCGACGGATGACGAAGCTGCGGTGGGATACATCCTTGCGTATATTACCAAGGTGGCCCGCGAGTTTCGCACGCAGTGGTACAAAGACAACAACGCACCGCTCCTCTACGTCCGCATCCAAGTTGGGCAAGCGTCCTGCAGTGCTTTGCTGGATAGTGGCGCCACTCGCAATTTCATGAGCGAGTCGTGTATTCAAAGGGCTGGCCTTGGCGCACAAGTTCGAAGGAAGGCAAATGCTACGGCGATCAAGTTGGCGAGCATAAGGGCGCAACAACTTATCGACCGCTACATCGAGGCCATACCGGTGTACTTCGCACCTCATGCATGTGAGCCGGTGACGTTTGACGTCTTGGACACGGACTTTGATATCATTCTGGGGATGCCTTGGCTTGCAAGTGCGAATCACACGGTCAACTTTCATCAACGGACCCTTACCATCCGTGACGCCTTTGGCCTCGAGGTGCCGTGTACCATTCCTCTTCCACACCCTTTGATCCGGTGCCAAGTTGTGACGGCCAAGTCGTTCCGGGCCACTTGTGCTTACGAGCAGCCCGGCAACGTCGGCCTACGTTTTCTACGAACCGTCGCGGTAGCCGACTCTTCATTCACGGGCTTGTCTTCGGAGCCCCGTGTGGTGCGGTTGCTTGATGAGTTCGCTGATATCTTCGAGTCACCTACCGGTGTGGTGCCGGATCGACCGATCTCTCACGAGATCATTCTTGAGGCTGGTGTCGCGGCGTCAAAATGTTGCATCTATCGCATGAGCGAGGAGGAGCTCGCGGTCCTCCGCGCTCAACTCGATGATTTGTTGGACAAGGGATGGATCCGCCCTAGCAGCTCACCATACGGTGCGCCAGTTCTCTTCAAACGGAGGAAGAACAAGGATCTACAATTCTGCATCGACTACCACAAGCTCAACGCGCACACCATTAAGAATATGGGGCCTCTTCCTTGTATCGACGATCTTCTTGAGCATTTGGGCACCACACAGTACTTTTCCAAGTTGGACTTGAAGTCGGGCTATCATCAGATGTCGATACAGCCGAATGATCGCTATAAATCCGCGTTCAATATGCGGTACGGGCATTTTGAGTGGGTGGTCATGCCTTTTGGCCTCACCAATGCCCCGACGACCTTTGAAGTGGTGATGGACCGGTTCTCGCTGGTCTACTTGGACGACATTCTCGTCTATAGCCGAACCTTGAAGGATCATCTTGAGCACCTTTGACGAGTGCTGGAGACGCTCCGCCGCGCTAAGTACACAGCCAACTGTGACAAATGCGAATTTGTCCGGCAAGAGCTGGAATACTTGGCCATTTTGTCACACCAGAGGGCATCAATCCGTTATCGGACAAGATTCAAGCCGTCCAAGAGTGGCCGGACCCGCAGAACATTACGAATGTATTTTTTTTTTTTGGCCTTGCCGACTACTACCAGCGTTTTTCAAAGGCTATTCGAAGATCGCGGCCAACTTGACCAAGCTTCAATGCGAGGATCGACCGTTCGACTTCAGTGAGGATGCACAGGGTTCATTTTTCACCCTCAAAGTCGCTTTGCTATCCACAAAGGCCTTGCACTTCTACGACCCGTTATTACCAACACGCGTCACGACCGATGCGTCCGACTATGGCATTGGTGTCGTCCTCGAGCAACACGATGGCGTGGATTGGCACCCGATCGATATATTTCAGCAAGAAAGTTTTCGTCGTGCACTCAATTGACGATGCACGAAAGAAGGAGCTACTAGCCTTCGTCCACGTGCTCAAGCGATGACGGCATTTTCTTCTTGGTCAAAGTCAATTTTGATGGGTTACGGATAACAATCCATTGGTCTTCTACAGGACCCAAAACACAGTCAACAGCACCATCGCCCGTTGGATGGCTTTCATCGACTAGTTTAACTTCTTTCCCGACCACACTCCGCAAAAGTCAAACCGTTTTGCGGATGCTCTTTCACGGCGTCTGGATCATTGCACCGCAGTCTAGTCGACCTTCGAGATCGATTACGACTCACGAGACAACTTCATTCGCGACTACCAAGCCGACTCTGAGTTTCGTGACAAGTACGTGAACTGTTCCTCTCCTAATCCGGCGTCATCGCACTATCGGATCCAAGGGGGATATTTGCTCATCCACTCGCGGGGGAAGGATCTTCTTTGCCTGCCCAATAATTCCCACTTGCGTACGAGGCTTCTTGGCGAGTTCCACGACGCTCCCGCCACCGAACATTTTGGAGTCAATCGAACGATTGGCCGACTTCGCGAGTGCTTTTGGTGGCCCGACCTTCTTAGCGACGTCACACACTATTGGGAGTCATGTGAGGTTTGTCGACATTGCAAATCCCGCAATCATCGTCCGTACGGCGAGGTGCGACCATTACCAGTCCCCTTGCGCCGCAGGGAAGCGATCGACATGGATATCACCAGGCCGTTCCCCAAGCACAAGACCGGTGTGGATGGGATTCTCACGGTGGTCGACCGACTCACCAAGTTCGCCATGTTTTTGCCGTGCCGCTATCATGCCAAGGCACCGAAGTTAGTTGAGGTTATATACGCCGGTTGCACTCGAACCAAGGGTTACCCCAAGGAAATCGGTTGCGACCGCGACACTCGGTTCATGTCCGATTTTTGGTTGGCACTCATCAAACGACGGGAGCGCCAAATGATGGGGCTCATCTCTCAAGCCGAGTTCGACTTGCCACCCCCAAAACGATTGCCAAATGCAGACGGCGCCTCAGACCGCAGAGGTTCTCCTTCACACTCTCATAAGTCTCGACCAAAAGGATTGGGTTGAGTGGCTGCCGGATGTCGAGTTGGCATACAACTCGTCCATTCCCCCAGCTATCGGGATGTCACCCTTTGAGTTTGAGCATGGCTCGCCCGGTCACTTCCCCGTTGGACTCGATCATCCCACGGGCAGTCGAGAGCGACGACCATCTTCTTTTCTTCCGTCGGATGCAAGTGCAAGGAACATGAATGTGGACGAAGCACACAAATCCAAATTGCAAAATCACACTGATGTCCAAGTAGTCAAAGCAAGAGCAGATAGCACAATGGAACCGAGTAACCATCCATTTGAGAACTATACAGAAGAATCGTGAGTCAATGTCCAAGCCCAAATCGGGCAACACCAACAGCATAACCCAATGTAGCTCTCTCTCTTGAATGGCGCCAGGCGCCCTANTCGGGCAACACCAACAGCATAACCCAATGTAGCTCTCTCTCTTGAATGGCGCCAGGCGCCCTATCTACTATACAGCCTATGCCTACAACTACAGCATGGAAGCAACCAGACAACTTTACGACCAGCGAGTGATGACGTCAACACCAATTCCGATCTCCTCTCCACCAGCTACGTCTCTCTCTTCTCCCTCACTCTCCCTTGTTATCCCACACAGCGCCCTTCACTTCCCGTAGAACCACCTTCGCCCTCACCTCCCTCTGTGCTCACAGGCAGCCCGGCTATGGCCGCCAGCGCCTTGCACCCAGGCTGCGCCCTACCACTTAGCGCCAGCCTGGCTTCACCTCAGCCTAGCTCAGTGCAACACCTCGCAAATGAGCAGCGTGCCGGCCTTGCTCGCAATGGCCAAGCTCCCTGCCCACTCGCCCTTTCTGCCTATATGCCAATGTTGCGGGTGGGCGGCCTCCCTTGAGCCTGCGCCTGGGCCCCAGTACCTGTACCCAGGCCCAATGCGGTTGGGGCCCACGAAATACAATTGCGCCCCTTTCATCAAGGCCTGTGTCCGGATTCAGCTAGTGGACCGGTTTCCCATTGGCATTTTTGGCCTCTATTTCCAGCATGCAATGTCGGCCTCACGTTTATGTGTCTAGGGCCTAACCAATTCTGGGGCCCTGGTCCTTGCTGCATTCGCAGAGATCCGGTACCCGGTGCACTCCAACCAACAAGCGTGCAGCAACTGTATAGACCCCAATTCGTGAAATGTTTCAACAGAGGGGCTCTCGTTGATTTGCTGGCCCGCCTTCACTTAGGGCGGGCACAAGGCTTGCTGGGGGCCTTAGCCCAGGACATGTACATCACGGCGAGGCCCCTTTGAGGGTTCAATCCTCACATTCCATCCCCCTTAGCTTCGAAAGTCCGCTGAGATGCTTACTTCGCAGGTGCCTTCCCTTTTAACATCCTCTCCTATTCTGCCACCACTTGAGGAGCCGTGTCAATCAGTTCCTCTCTGGTGAACCACCGATCTTCTTTTGGATCCGTATGATGCCTGAATCTGACGCGATATTCTCTCTTGGGTTTGGGAGGTCTTCCTCTACCCAGTGGCTTTGGAACAAACAGGTCTCTGTGGTCCACAATGTCGTCGATGTCCACTTGGCCATCCATGGTAGGGGGCAGCATCGATGTCCTTGAAGGGAATTGATCTGTCTCAGCGAAAGGTGCAAGCTTTGAGGCATGAAAGACAAGGTGAGTGCGCAAGTGCCCAGGGATGTGGATAACATAGGTAGGACCATCCATCTCATCCCCAACTATGTCCATGACTTCCCAGGGACCAAAATACTGAGGCATTAGTTTTCGAGAGATACCGAATTCTTGTCCTAGCTCACTAGCCTTGACCCAGACACGTTCCCCTACCTGAAATGAGGACTGTCGGCGATGCTTGTTCTCAGAAGCAATCATTGCTTGTTGAGCTTTCCTGATGTGCTCGACAGCTTGCTGTAGCAACTTCTCATACTGCACACCATACTCAAGTGTGCCTGGAGTTGTAGAGGGTCGGTTTTCAGGTAGGAGGAAGTCCAGAGCTGATCTAGGCTTCCATCCCAAGTGTAGCTGATTAGGACTAACGCCGGTACTGCTGTGTACAGCGTTGTTGTACAGGCTGGCGATGAGAGGCAACTTCTCATCCCAGTCATCCTGGTTGGGCTTGATGTAATGCCTCAGCAGGTGTTGTACGACTCTGTTCATCTGCTCGGCCTGTCCATTGGCTTCGGGATGATTCCCTGAAGTCATCTAAAGTTGACTGCCCATCTGCTCAGCAGTCTTCTTCCACAACTCACTTGTCAATCGGACATCTCTGCCACTAACGATTGACTTTGGTAGTCCAAAATCACGCACCCAGTTGTCCAAAAACAACTTGATGACGTGTTCAGTCCTTGCGGTCTCTGGCATGGCAATTAGTCTAGCGTACTTGGTGAATCAGTCTATGATGACAAAGATGTGCCTCTTGCCACTCCTACTGGTCACCAGGGTGTCCATGAAGTCCATAGAAACACTCTGTCTCGGACCAACGGGGATAGGTAAGGGCTTCAGCAACCCAAGTGGTGCTCGAGTTCGCAGCTTGTCCCGCTGACAGACCTGACAGGTCTCCACATACTTCTTTGTATCTTCTAGCATTCTGGGCCACCAAAATCGGTGTACTAGATTGACACTCGTCTTTTTGTAGCCAAAGTGTCCGGTTGCGTCATGACATTCTCCTAAGAATAAACTACGCAAACGTTCACTAGATTGAACAACTAAACTTTTAAATCTGGCCTTATCAAGAAAACTCGTCTTCTGTGGCCTTGTCTTTTGCCTGAAGTTTGCGTATGATGTCCATCGTGACAGGGTCTGCCTAATAGGCTCCCACCAGCGATTGAGTTAGTTCCTCAGATACACCAAACTCAGAAACTAGCGCCCCTACGTGATAGCGCACCTGCAACCTTGTTATACTCTCCCTTCAGATACTCTAGCTTGAAGTCATACTGATCTATGACCTCAATCCATCGCTTGAGTGCATCAGAAAGAGCCGGTTGAGTCTTGATCCATTTAAGGGTCTGATGGTCAGTTCTTAAATAGAAAAACTGTCCCAACAGAAAGTGTCTCCAATGGACAAGTGCCTTGTAGAGAGCATAGAGTTCCCTTTCATAGGTGGACTTTGCCAGTTTCTTTGATGGCATCTTTTTGCTCATATACTCAATCGGTCTTAACTTTTTCCCATCCTGCTGAGCCAGCACTACGCCAATGCCGTATTGGCTTGCGTCAGTGGTTACAATGAAAGGCTTCTGAGGATCGGGCACCATGAGTACCTCATGATTCATGAGTGCATGCTTCAATCGTTTGAAAGCAGCCTCGCACTCATCACTCCAGTCCCACAGCGTGTCAAGTCGAGTTAGATCAGTCAAAGGAGAGGCGACTGTGGAATAGTTCTTTACGAAATTTCTATAGTAGCCGCACATTCCTAAGAAAGATCTGACCTCAGTAACAGTCTGAGGTCGTGGCCAGTCCCTGGTACTAGCCACCTTCGCATCTTCTGGCCTAATCCCTTCCGCGGATACTTCATGACCCAAGTACAAGATCCTAGTGCGTCCAAACTC